GAAAAGAGTGATCCAACTGTATGATTTAGGAAGCCTATCTCAACAATTTAGCATGGTCAGAACGTACGTATGCATCCCTAATCCCAGAAGCAGAAAGCTTGCCTTCTAATGGACTACAGAAGGAAGAAGTATGTTCAAGGAAGAGATTGTAAAGGTCATCATTGATGTCATTGTTTCATCATTTTGGAAACAGATTAAAAAACACTAGAAGGGGAAATGTCTGACTTGAAGTGACCAAGAGGTCTACATTAAGCTAGCCAAAGTATATATTGTGCCATAGTATTACATCTGATATGTGCTTATGCTAGAATTGGGTGTGCCCTGTCACATTCCCGTTCATACAGCTAAAAGCACATTGAGGAAACAATTTATTCTCTTATGTGCACATATAAATGCGTTTCACTGCCAGTAATTCATGAGGAAGTAATGGAAAAAAATTGCCTACCCAAACACTTAAAGACAAAATAACTGGAACCAGATGTTTGAGATCCCTGTTCCTCTGCTAATTCCACAGAATCCCATCTAGGCAAGAGCCATTCCTCTCAGCCTGCTTGGTCACATCAACTAGAAGATATGAATACCTAGGATGAAAAGCTTGAAGAAACACATATCTAGAAAACAAATTTTCGACATTGCAACCAGCTATGTTAATCCAGTCTTAGACTAAACATAACAAAAAATCTCTTTTTTCTATTTCTCATGCAGAAAAATGGTTACTGTATATGTGCACATCTGCATGGAAATTTAATTCTTTTTTTTCTTCAGATGCAAAATTGTCAATCTGAAGAAAAACACAACACAAATCATGAGCCAATTAAGTGCATGGACCTGTCCTGAAAAATAGAAACTACCATCTACACTGAATCAGTAGTAAAAACATGTCCTTTTTCTTTAGCTGTGTGCAAACTAAGACAACCTAGCAATTATGAAAAAATAACATGCTTTTGATTTTTAAAATGTTTTTACTAGATGTATTATCATCACTGTGATACACCTACTAATGACAACAACAAAAAAGCATTATACCTGACATGCAGAAAAATGAGTTATGACTTTCTTGACAAATTCTGCACAACAGGCCAACTTACCAACCTTCCTGAGTTTAATTCTAGTTGTTCAAAGAGCATCTCCACTGATAGTGAGCATAGGGACACATACCTATCAAAAATTTTCAACCTTCCTCTTCTGAAAAAGAGCCTAGAAGAAAAGTTTGCACGCACATCCAGAAAGTCTACCCTTGAGCTAAGCTTCAAATCTTACAAAAAGTGCCTGAATATTTACAATAAAACCAAATGGGTTGAGAAGATATAAAAGACTAGAGTCTGCTTTCCATCTGAAAGCAAAGTCTAAGTCTGGGGACTTTTGGAACCACTAGGATTAATCTACATGAAACAATTACAAAACTTTGACTTTACTTTCTCTTTTTTATTAACACAGTATAGTTAAGCCCTTATAAATACCCATTCTGAAATAATTTATTTCAGATTTTGGGTAGCTCATATTCTTAATAATCATTAAATGGCCCTATTATATATATACTGTGCCTATTACTCAGTGCCTATTACTCTGAATCTTGAATACATGCAGGCTTGGTGATTCAGAAATTTAAGACAACTCTGCAATTGCTAAAGTAGTTATCTGTGCACATCTCTCCATCATACCATGTAGACATACTTGAAGTGCTTAAAAAATGTATAACACTGTTACCACTGCTGCTGTTTCTTTGTATTTGTGTAAGATGAAGAGGTCCCAGGCCAGCAGTACGATCCTGATATTCAAACTGATGTGCAAATACAGCAGGACTTTAGTCTGAAGAGTCTTAAATTATCATGACTTACAATGGTCAGACAACTGAAATGTCCTTTCTTGCTCGGCAAGTGTTAAAAGGAGTTCATAGCACTAGCTGTATTGGATACAGCTTGTTATGTCCTGGTGTGAAAGGGAACCATGCATACATGCCTTTTTCCTTTTCAAAACTAGGATATTTGTAGTGTGTTACTAGGTTGAAGTATACTGTGAAACTGCATCATGAACTTCCTCATTCTGACTGTGTTTACATTTCCATGCAAATTTCTTCCCAGCAAAGATAAGTGAGAAGTTTTGGGTTACCATTATAAAGAAACTAAGCCTGATCCTCTTTTCATACTTTGTAGATGAAAGTGAATGCTGGCTTACAAGTTTGGGGAGGGGAAAAAAACACCCAACAAAAACTAAGCCCCAAAAAACCTTGTTTCAGTTCTGTTAAGCTTACGGGATGGCACATTTTCATTTACCACTACATTAAATAACTCATGTCCACTCAGCTGTCCAAATTTGGACTTTCACTAAGAAGGGGACAGCTTGCTCTCATTTCCAGAGGAAAATGCCACCTTCTGATTGCATGCATCTCACCAGGGGTATCAGACTGTCAGAAGCCTGAACTTCAGAACTAAAAAGAACTGCTGGTGATGCTTTTTCTTTCCCAAACCCTATTTTAATGCTTATTCTGCCCACTAATCCTTTGTATCATTCTAATCCTTGTCATGGGTACCAAACTAAGAGCCTCTACACGTTCACAGTGCAGAGCTGCTCAGCAGTGCAAAGCCTTGTACAACTTACGCCTGACTGGCAAGAGTGTTTTGTAGGCACCCACCATGAACTTGCTGTGATAACGGCAGTTCTAGAGGACACTGAATCAAGACCATAAATTTATTACATATAAGTCAATGAAAAATGACAAAGAGGAACCAAAGCTGGATTTGAACTGATCACCTAAGGAGGAAAAACTCCATATCCCATTGTATTGAGCTATCTGGAACTCTGCCTCATTCTTTGCCTCTGGCTGGAGATTTAAAACACAGTAATACTCTGCCACAGGACACAGAGTGTCTGTCTTCATGAAATAAAATGGAGCAAAGAAAAAATTTAGTTCCCTTGTAGGATTACTGGTTTTAAATTAGGGAAGTATATCTTCAGCTTGAGATACGCTAACTTCTCTGTAGCAAAGGCTTTTGTGTTATTTCTTATGGTTTGCTTAGCAGTTTATTACTGAGAAACAGTGACAGAAAGCAGTCAAGAGAAGGGCCTCAACCCATGGCAGTGTGAAACTCCTCTTAAGAATGTTAAATCTTTCTTATTAGGGACTAACCTGCATACTTCTAAATCATCAGATAAGTCATCATACAACACTGGAGGCTTCTGAACAGCATCAGTCACACTGGGCCCTGTCCCAGCAGGTGCTCCGTTATCAGGGACTGCCAGAGCATCACTCCCAGAGCCTGCCTCTGCAAAGCAGTCCTTTGAATCTTTACTGTGTCTAAGGAAAGATGCAGGGTGCTGATCTCTGTAGTAGCTTTTTCCTTTGCTTTTCCCACATTTTCTTGAGGAAATCCTTGCTTCCTGAGATGACACTGAAGACTGTGATTCCTTTAGCCTTGGAACCCTTCTTCGGCGGTGATTTAAAGTAGGATTCTCAGGGTCAGATATCTCTTGCTTGTTTTTCCCCATTGTCCCCAAAGTGACAAGTTCAACAGCATTATTGCTTGAGGACCCATCCTGGTTAATGCATGATCTAGTGTTCCTTTTCCCTCTCCTGGGTATTCTGGCCTTTTCTCTTGCTCTCCTCCTAGCCTGAGCCCACTGACTCTCATCCGAAGATGATGATGAATCAGATGCATTCCAACTGGACCTCGCAGGCTCAGGATGCAATTTACAGTCTTTCCCTTTTCCTTGCTTTTCCGTATGCTCACCATTGTCTCCAGTCTCTCTTTTCCGCCTAAACCTTCGTTTTACTTGTTTCTTACCAGACTCCCTATTAGAAGGGGTCAACACCATGACAGGGGTTGCATGTTCAAGCTCATCTTCTGACAAGTCATGCAAGGTAGTAGATCTAGACAAAGCAGTAAGCAAAGGAAAGGAATGGAAATGGTAAGGGTGGGTGGAAGGAGAGGAATCACAAAAAAAAA